TGTCGCCTCTTTTAAGCAAAACCAATACATCTGAAGCTCCATTCACATGTCAACATGTCTTCCCCACCGAACATCTCTCTTATATAGATGCATTTACCCCTGCAGCTCTTCTATAAGATAACGTTACATTCACTAGTGACCTTTGATCAGTCAACATAGAGTCATTGGTAGACAGGCAGGTCCTGAGGCTGCATGCCAGACTGACATGATGAAGACATATTTGAATTAGTCACTACTCATTTAAAGTTAATGGTTTATTTTCAGGTTTTTTTTGTAATTATTTTATTAATATGATATTTTGTAAAATCTATAATTTAAAGCCATGTAATACATTCTAAATAGTTGCGTTTGATGTTGATGTCAATATGTTGCGCAAATTATGCGTTTTTAATAACATTAAGACGTGTTGTGGTCTGATAAAAAATGTATCCAAGTGTTAATCACTACGATGATGGTCCTCATCTTGGACATCCTGGAACATTTCTAATCTTAATATTGATCTCTAATGATGTAAATAAAGAAACACATACAGAGGTGTGTGGAACACACTTCTGTATGTAATCCCTCAAACACACAAAGTCTGCATTTACAGCAGAATACCTGAGGGATTCATCATCTTTAACAAAGACTTACAAGGCTTAACTAGTCATGTTGCTCTTTGTCCTCCAGTTTGAAGTTCATGTTGTAAAGATGGGGGACATGAGCTAAACAATAGTACCCCTGGAGCTCCTATGATTCATCACTGCTGTCAGAACTAACGCAAACGTATGTTTTCTGCTCAATAGGACAAGAAAACAGATGAACAAGCTGTGAAACGTGAGAGCCCAAGCTTTGTGACGAGCTGCTCTTGTTAACATGGGCAAAAAACACAACCGGGTGTCTGAAATCTGACGCCCCAAGACGTAGGTCAGAGCCGGGATGTGGAGGTGTATGGTCAGTGCATGAGGCTCGACAAGTGCACAAACATTATTTTTAAAAGAGCCTTTTGTCCGCCCCAGTCCCTAAATTCCAAATATTTTGTCAATGCACTGTCATGTGTAAATGTTGGGTTTTTCCTCCTGCTTTGTATTGTCTATTTTTCACAATAAAAAATAATAATATAATAAATCTGATAAAACATAATTTCATGAGTACCGTTAAAGAGTATTTTGACTCCCGATTTGTGTTATACATGTTCTGAAATAAACATCTTTAAATTGAAAAGTGACCGAATTACGGCACCAGTAGGGAGCCTTTCCATAAACAATAAACAATGCTGAAATGTATTGCATTGCTGTGCACCTGACAATAATAAATAAACGTTTATATTCCATTCCCTTCCATTCTACCTTTCCAAAACAACAGTTAAAAGCATTAGCTGAAAACAACAAAACCTTCATAAATATTTAATCACACTTTCTGTACTATGAGAACACACAAGAATGATATTAAGATTGATCAAATCTAATATCAAACTGGTGAGTGTGTTTGCTTCTCGATTTTCACCTGATCTGGAGGATGTAACATTAGCGGAATACTTAAAGAACAAACTCAACCGGGATGTATCATGCCAAAAGATCACCACGGCGCACAATCGATTCAGTTCATTTAAAATATCTGCGGAGTGTAATGACGTAAATGAGATGTATGACCCTGATCTGTGGCCAGAGGGTGCACTCGTTCGGCGGTACTATGAGCCGCGTCGTGTGGGGTACAACAGGGGTGAGCTAGGCGCAGGTGACCCTGTGGGCAGTGCGCGCAATGGCACCGCTGTGGTACCCTAAAATGCAGCTATGGAGTTACGTCTTCTGACTTATAACTGTCGGGGCCTACGGCTTGGAAACAGTGCTGCGGATAAAGCTCGTCGCCTGGTTGTCGATGGACTTTTGCAAAATTGCGACATACTGTGTTTGCAAGAGACTTTTTTATCTCAACAAGACTTGCAAAAGCTGAACTCGTTTAATGAGTATTTTCATGGGGCTGGTGAGTCCACTACTGATTTTAACAGGAGTATTGTCATGGGTAGAATAGCAGGGGGTGTGGCAATACTCTGGAGAAAGTCTCTTGATACATGCGTTAAAGTTGTCAGACTTGGAGTTGACTGGTGTATTGGTCTACATTTTACTTGTGATGATAAAGAATTTATAATAGTTAATGTCTACACTCCGTATGAGTGCAAACAAAATGAAGATGTATATTTAGATAAGCTGGCCTTTTTGCATGCGTTTGTTGAAGACAGCCCTGTATCTAGTGTTTACATTGTAGGAGACATGAATGCAGACATTGCAGACATGACTTCCTTATTTGGTAAACATTTGCTACAATTCTGTGAGGATCATGACTATATTCTATCTAGCAGATGTTTACTTCCTATAAAGAGCTACACATATATTAGTGAGGCTTGGCATACAACCTCATGGTTGGACCACTGTATAAGTACAGCTGATGCACATGTCTCCCTGGCATCTATGCAAATACTTTACAGTGTTGTTACTGGAGATCATATTCCTATCTCTTTTAATATACACGTTGACCAGTTACCAGGACTGACAACACACAATGGCCCAGTTAAGCAGGGGAGGCTGGACTGGACAGCTTGTACACAGGAAGACCTCCTGTCCTATTTTACTAGATCTGACAAACTTTTAAGCAGTATACATGTTCCACACAATGCTATTAGATGTACTGACACTAATTGTGTTGAAGTGGACCATAAAATGGATATCTGTAGTTTTTATGATAATATTATCAGTGTTTTGTCTAAAAGTAGTGAATGTTTTTATAAAAAAGTTCAACATAATCACAAAAAGCGACCAGGCTGGAATATGTATGTAGCTGGGTATTACGAGGAAGCACGGGAAGCTACAAGAGAATGGACTGTAGCAGGGAGACCGAGACATGGCACTATTTTTGAGAATAAAAAGATTACCAATGCCAGATACAAATATGCTATTCGATTTATCTCAAGAAATGAACAAAGTATGAGGTCAGATTCATTGGCCAGTAAACTTACATCCAGCAATATTATGGATTTTTGGAAAGAGGTGCGAAATCTCAACAGTAGTAAAACATCTCTACCTTGCACTGTAGATGGTATCTCTGGCTCAGAAAACATAGTTGGATGCTGGAAACGACATTATTATAATCTGTTCAATTGTGTCCACAGTGATATGTTTAATGCTGGCACAATTGACCAAAGTGAATATGTACCCATAAGTGCCCATGAGGTGTATCAAGCAATTCAAAAGTTACCGGCTAATAAGTCCTGTGGTGCTGATAACATTTATGCTGAGCACCTGATACATGCCAGCAAAAGACTTTGTCCTCTGCTGGCCATTTGCTTCTCTAGCTGTTTGACACATGGAATTCTCCCAGACTCACTTCTCTCTGTCACGCTTGTCCCAGTCTTAAAGGATAAAGCTGGTAGAATGGGTAGTTTGGACAATTATAGACCAATCGCACTGGCAAGCATATTGTCTAAAGTCTTGGAGAAAATACTGTTATCTCGATTACAAGATTATATCTGCTCCACAGACAACCAGTTTGGCTTTAAATCTAAACATGGTACAGATTTATGCATATTTGCTCTCAAGGAAATAATAAGAAAATATAAAAGTCAAACATCATCTGTTCTTCTGTGTTTTATCGATGCATCTAAAGCATTTGATCGGGTAAATCACTGGAAATTATTCTCAAAGCTGAACGAGAGAGGGGTGCCTCGTTATATTGTGAGAGTTTTAGTATACTGGTATGCCCATCAGGTAATGCAGGTGAGATGGGGTAGATCCATGTCGGATCCATTCTCTGTTAGTAATGGTGTCCGGCAGGGAGGAATTCTCTCTCCTGTTTTATTCTCCCTGTATATGAATGATCTGTCCTTAGAGTTAAGTGCATGTAAAACGGGCTGTATGATTGGGCCAATCCAGGTGAATCATCTGTTGTATGCGGATGACCTTGCTGTATTCAGCCCTAGTAGTGCAGGTCTACAGGACCTTCTCAATGTCTGCTCTAAGTATGGTGTAGAGTATGATGTAAGGTATAATGCAAGCAAAAGTATGATAATGTTATGTAGAACTAAAGATGATGTAAATGTAAACTTTCCCCAATTTAAATTGTGTGGTGTTGAACTAAGTGTATGTTCCAAATATAAATACTTGGGCCATTTTATTTGTGATGATCTGTCTGATGATGAGGACATTCTCAGGCAATGTCGTATGTTGTACGTTCAGGCGAACATGCTGGTGCGCAAGTTTGGTGCCTGTACAGCGCAGGTGAAAAAGACACTTTTTAAAGCATACTGTACGTCATTATACACGGCACATTTATGGACCAAATACAAAAAAGCAACCATCCGCAAACTCAATGTGGCATACAATGACTGTCTGAGGATTTTATTGAAAAAGCCACGATGGGAAAGTGCAAGTACTTTGTTTGTGTCAGCTGGAATAAGGACATTCCAGGCCGCCATGCGATGTTTGATGTACAGTTTTATTTGTCGGCTCAATGAAAGCCAGAATTGTATTGTCATAAGCCTGACAAATGTCAAATTCAGTGCCATGCGGTACCAGTCAGATCTGTGGAGACACTGGTACAGCTGTTTGCTCTGAGAAGTGAGGCTTATTGTTGTGATTACATGTGTTGTTTTGTGTTTTTATGTGATGTGTGTTATGTGTTATGTGTCTTATCCTGGACCCTGAGTCTGTAATAAAGTTTGATATGATATGATAATAGTTTCCGGTAGACTTTAGTCTAGAAGAAATATGTCTGCATGCTCTGGAACTTTCAAGTAAAACAACACCGACAAGCGACAAGCTCCTCCATAAGCCTCTCTGATATGAAATTACAACTGAAGTGGATATTTGATCTTGCTTGTGAATTAATCGGTCTTCTAAGGGATTAAATTCAGACGAGGTGCAAGAAAAAGACCGTGGGAACAACGTGACAAATTGCTTTTTTACCAGCATACTAAAATGCCAAATAGAATTCACAAATACAAACGTCTTGTTGGAACAGCAGCTTACCTTGTTGTAGTAATGGAGCTGGACTGAGTGCCACTGTCCGTCACTGACTCCTCCAGCGACGTATGGGGCCACTGTGGTTTTAGTCTCGCCTGCGATTAGACAAAACGGAAGTAAATTAAAGAACATTGGGTGATAGTGGAGTTGAGTTGAATTGAGTGTTTATTCACTTCGAGTTCAATGTACATCAAACATTAATTATCAAACGTCTCCACATAGAACTTTCCAGAAAATCATTAATTTACAATTATCTATTACAATATTGTACATCATTCAAACTCGAAAAGGAGTGGGAGGAAGAATTTTGTTGATGAATTTCCATCCCTGTGAACATCACACTTACACCCGAGTGTCCGGAGCCAGCAAAGTAATGCGCAACAACACGGCAACAAGCAGCACAATGACCGCAGCCATAGACAACGCATGGTGATTGGATCATTAAAGAAGAATTGCGCATTTTTACCCTAAAGTTTTAAAAAGTTATAGATACATATTGGCTTGGTGTTGAGAAATGAAGGACTAATTCTCTTAAACGTAAACTAAATGGCTAGTCAAGTTTGTATAAGCTTATAGCCAAAAATCCCTTTAAACCAGGGGTGTCAAACACATTTAGTTCAAGGGCCGAATAATAAAATTAGGAAATGGTTGGGGGCCGAAAGAATAGAAGGGATTTCCTTTTACATTATAGAGGTTTTTTGACACGACTTTAATGTGACATGAGTTTCACTATTGTTTTCTTGTTGATTTTTCTGAAAACGAAATGTGTTTATAGTTTAGATTTAACCACAACAGGACAAAATATAAAGTGAAACGCATTGTTTTATATTAACTATTTAACTTCTAATGATGTGTTGGGTTAAAATGTGAGAATAAATTACATTTACGTTATGTATAACATGCCTTGGTAGCTCGTTACCATCAATGCAGCAAGATAATAATATTTGAATTAATTTTAGGGGCCACTAAAAAATTTCTTGCGAGCCAGATTTGGCCCACGAGCCTGAGTTTGACAGGCCTGCTTTAAACGTTGCCCAATAAATCACTGGTTAGGAAATCCAGGTTGGTCCACTGTGACAGTAGCGCACAAAGAGCTCAGATTGACTCAGGCTTTAGAGTATTTGTAAAAGGCAGGGGCCGCAGGAATCCACCGTTCGAAGTGAAAATGTTCTGCACTGCTCACAAGACAAGTGTGTTTCTTTGTGTGAAGGCCAAATGAGTCCAGGCTATTTCCTATTGTGGGAATGCCACAGTGACATATGTGGAAACTAATGAACCTTGTATAATTCAACTTTTTTTTTTAATGAGAGAGGTTCAAAACAGCCAAAGATAACGTTAGAGAGTTTGTGTAAAATACTGAAAATAAATGAGGTTTTGTTGAAGACAAGTTAAAAAATGCATTTGAAAGTTTATACAAACCAGACAGAATTTTTTTTACAGGGCATATTTTGGAGATTGATTATTTTTACAATGATGTTAGTGGTTGTGTGAAGCAATATATTGTAATAAAAATATATATATATTTATATATCATAAGTGATTAGACATTCCCATCCCCCAGTTCTCAATAGCCTGTACTGAACTTTTCACATATATGACAGCTTGGAGTTTTTTTGTGGTAGTTGTGGATGAGGTTCTTTATCCTCTCTGATGATAAAGCTGCCCATTCCTCTTGGCAAACAGCCTCCAGTTTCTGTAAATTCCTGGACTGCCTCACATTAATTGCACATTTGAGGTCTTCCATGACTATAGGGTTAATGTTAATGTTATGTTAAGATTAGAAATAGAGAACAAGTATATTCGAGAATAAATGCCTTCATGCAACCTCTAGTGACTAGTCACTAGAGGTTGCATGAAGGCATTTATTCTCGAATTATCTTATTGTTGATGATTTCTAAAACATGAACAAAAATAAAAACGCAATTGTGCTTTTAATGTCACACACAAAAGGCCAAATAAAAATTAAGAAAGCCACACTGGGAAACTTTCTCTGTGTTAAATACAAGTCTTAATTTAGGACAACTGAATGAGAATTAAGTAAATAAATATAGCATATGGCACTGATTAATTTGACTCATGATGATGACTAATGCATTCACTTTGGATCAAACTAGACTTCAAGCACTTGGCCGAGATCCCAAAAGAAAGCGAGGATCCTCCCTGCTCGGCATCATGGGAAACTCTTTGAAACAGTTACTACAGTTACAGAGGGTGTATTTGTTGAGCGGATATCTCCATGTCTATAATTGTCATGTAATTGTTCTACTAGTAAATAGAATCACACCAAGTTACTCGTTACTTCATGGGAAACAAGTTGGACTTTTTTCTGAATTTTTGTGTGTGTGTAGAAATGAAAGCGTTTGTTATTAAAAACAGACACATTAATAGATGTTTCCCTCACCTCCAGAAAATGTGAGCTGTATCTGCTCATCAATAATCTCCAAAGCGATGAAGTCGTGTTTCTCGTTAAATCGGCCGTTGTACAGCAGCAGCGCGTTCCTCTCTCTTGTTGCAAACCTGACGCGAAGACAAAGAAAAAGTACTTGGATTATCAAAATATCCATTTGTGCATAAATAGTTACAGAGATAAATCATCTCTATATACTGTATGTACAGCATGAATAGCAGAACTCAAATTATAGATTTTGAGGCCATAACATATTAATTGTATTGTGTATAAAGTAATGTGGTTTTACTGAAAATGGCAAAATAAATGAAACTGATCTGATCTGAATCTGATCTAAAAGGGAGAATCTTACCATAAGTAATATGTACAACACAATTCCATTATGAATTATGGCCTTTTCAAACTGCCAAATTCTTGTAACAGCAGCTGTACTGTACATAATTTAGCCTATATGTGTTAGAGCCGACAGTTGGGGACGACAGTAGCTCAAAGTGCCTGGATACAGGAGATGTATACATTTGGCTATTTTGGCTAAGTTTAATGACATACTCTCGAACATTCCAGGCAAAACAACATTTAGTTAGACCCAAGGATAAAGTAGACACTCCACCAGGGAACTTGTGTATTTCACCTTTAAAGAGACGCTTTAAAATAGAATTTGTTTAACCAGGTTTGTAGTTTGTCCCAGTGGGTTAAAGGCTGATCCAGGCTGAGGCATGAGAATTCTATTTACCTTACCAAACAAAATGATGTAACAAGCTCCTGTGAGAAAATTACTCATGTCTCTGATGCCTCTTCAGCCCAGACCAAACAAAACCAGGACTACTGTGCAGAGACCTCAGAGATAAACCCAACACATGCGTCTGCTTGTGTTACTGAGCGTCCCACAGTCAGAACAGACCGGATGTGAAAACTAATAAGACACAACATTTCGGAGCGTCTGAGGCGGCACGGTGGCTGAGTGGATAGCACTCTCGCCTCTCAGCAAGAAAGTCCTGGGTTCGAATCCCGGCCGGACCAGGGCCTTTCTGAGTGGAGTTTGCATGTTCTCCCCATGTCTGCGTAGGTTTCCTCCAGGTTCTCCGGTTTCCCCTACCACTAAAAATATGTACAATAGGTCTGGCATGCGCCTCCTGTTTGGCGACCCCGCTCCCATCTCTGTGAGGAGTGAGAGGACAAGTGTCCAAAAAATAACAATTGTAAACCGCTTTGTGACTCTGGTCTGTGAAAGGCGGTATATAAATAAAACTTACTTACTTACTTAGGTAATGAGATGAACACAAGCATCAACTTCACTGAGTTCAGGATTCAAAGTTTGCATAGCTCAGAGTACATGGTTGTATGTGTGTGTGTGTGTGTGTGCTTTGGTGTGACTGGAGGGCAAAGGAGTCATTGCACAGATGAGGCGAAACCCAGGGAATCAGGAAACCAGGACGGCCAACGATAAGGGCTACTCATCAAAGCTTTTCCTGTTTTTACTGCATTACAAACCAAATCGCTGTGCTACTGCTATACGTGAAAGAATGAGAGATTTAGATGTTATATCAGCATTGTGTGTATGTATCCTTGACATACTATCCTTCCCTCAATGTGGGTCTCCCTGAGGTTTTTCACTTTTCTCCCACTGGGTTTTTAGAGTTTTTCCTTGCCAATGCAAGAAGGGTGATGAACCAGGACACTTGAAATTCAACACTCGACTTTATCAACATTGGACATTGGTCATCTGCCCCCTATGAACCAATGGCTCTATGTGTTTTTTTTTTTTTTCATTTCATGTATTTGAACTGTTTGATTCTCTGATCTATGAATCAACAGCTTTGTAAAGTCCTTGGAGATAACTACTGTTGGGATTTAAGGGTACAAAAATAAAATCGATGAAATTGAACTAATGTGCGAGTGATGGGTTTATTGGGCCCGGCAGCAGCTCATAGCAGACAATAGAAAGAATGCTCAGGTTTGGGCACGCCTTACTGTTATCTGAAGTGCATGTGTTTGGCTGAATCCTAATGGCTGTTTATGGCTTCTGAAATTCAAGTACCAGACCTTCGCTGAAGACAAGGAGGAGGATATAATAAACACTCATCTGTGTAAAAATTATCTACAGCCAATGATTGGTCAACATTTTAGTTAATAGTTAATAGTAGTTTGTGGACTTGACAAAACATTACCCACTCATTTGATGTCAAAAACTCAAAGAACACACACATGGCATCAACATTATAGAATATACGGAATAATACATATATATACATTATTTAAATGGTTTCATCTTGATTTGAGATTGTTTGGACTGTGTTGAAAAGATATGCCAATGGAACAACCAGGTAAGTCTTTTTTCAAGGGCAGTTTATATTTCATTCCAAAGGAGAATTTCCTTGTCTAATTTAAAACAAGAAGGGTTTGCTTGCCCCATTGCCATCTTGGTTTAAGATATTATCAAAAATATTCGAAATCCATATAATTGAGCCTAGATTATTCATTAATTATCGTAATTTCACCTATTGTAGATAATAGTACACATACATAGTCATACAATTTAATATTTAACAGTTTCACCATGTGTCAATACATCTTTTTATACAGTTCAAGAAATTTTTCAATTATATTTCTGTCATATTTTGACATGACAGTCAAATCATGATGTCTGTAATTTCAAACGTGTTTCATAAAATATATAAAAATATGTAAAATATTACATAATTTTAATCAAAAGTCTGTGAAGCATCAGGATAGTTCAAGCATTCCTTAAAAAGGTCAACTATCTGGTGAGTAATGACCACAAGATCTAATCAATAATGGCAAGGCAAGGCTTCAAAGTTAAGTAACATTTAAATGTGGTGGATAGGAGTTAGCATGTAGCTAGCATGTAGCCTCAAGCTTACTCTTATGGGGCTTTTGAATGGTGAACTTTACTTCCACAAACCTTAGCTCCGTCTACTTCGCAGCAGTAAAGAGTAAAGAGAAGTACTCACATGAATGAAATGGTGAAGTGGAACCTCTGACGGAGCCCTCTGAAGGTGATGAAGGACTGTCCAGGGAAGCTGCGTGTGGTCATCTCGCAGTAGGGCGTCTGGTAGTCTCCGAGGGGACACCTGCAGCTGAAGCCTCCGCTAGCTTTGTCCACACACTCTCCCCCATTCTTACACACTCCGGGGACACAGCGGTCTGACGATGCGTCCAGCTCACAGTGATCTCCTGAAATGTACAACACAGACATAAGGAACAAAGGTTTTTCATGTGTAATTGACCAGACCTCGATAATGAAAGCAAAATAAAGTGCTGTGCCATGAAAATTATTTGCAGTTGAATACTAAAAATGTGGTGCTTAGTTTTCCAACCATGCAAAATGAAAATATGGGATGAGCTTTTTCAGACTGACAAGAGAGTGCCACTCTTGCTCAGCCAATCAGCTCTCACTCCAAAAGTGTCAAATAAAGATTCACAGGACTCTCTCTTAGAAAACATTTCAACTATTACATACTTGAAATGTGTTCTAATGGGCTATATGCACATCATTTCCTGTTAACAAAGATCAGCCCGTTCACTTCCTGCCTATGCTATTCTATGGCTTTTAGGTGGGTTTCAGTGACGTTTTTTAGTAATTAGATTGATACATTCAGCTGTGAGACTGACCCAAAAGTGTCGCTGTGCTTTCTCTCTGAGAAAATGACAGCACAATCAAAGAGCACTGCTGTGTCCCAAAAATGCCCAGTATCCATCCATCCATCCATTTTCCTCCGCTTCATCCGTTGCCGGGTCGCGGGGGCAGCAGTCTAAGCAGAGACGCCCAGACTTCCCTATCCTCACACACTTCCTCCAGCTCGTCCGGGGGGACCCCAAGGCGTTCCCAGGCCAGCTGAGAGACATAGTCCCTCCAGTGTGTCCTGGGTCTTCCCCGGGGCCTCCTCCCGGTGGGACGTGCCCGGAACACCTCCCCAGGGAGGCGTCCAGGAGGCTTCCGGAACAGATGCCCGAGCCAACTCAACTGGTTTCTTTCGACGTTGAGTAGCAGCGGCTCTACTCCGAGCTCCTCCCGTGTGACTGAGCTCCTCACCCCATCTCTAAGGGAGCGCCCAGCCACTCTGCGGAGGAAGCTCATTTCGACCGCTTGTATCCGCGATCTCGTTCTTTCGGTCATTACCCAAAGCTCATGACCATAGGTGAGGGTGGGAACGAAGATTGACCGGTAAATCGAGAGCTTTGCCTTTCGGCTCAGCTCCCTCTTTACCACAACGGTCCGATACAGCGACCGCATCACTGCGCACGCTGCACCGATCCGCCTGTCAATCTCACGCTCTATCGCACATACATTTTACTCGTTCTGTTAGGCCAAGCAAAATGTGTTTTGAAGCAATCTCCTGAAAAAAAATGTACTTTTAATGCTGCAATATTAATAAAAAACTAAACAAAATCAATCATTTTGTAAATTGTCCAGCACTGCAGTGATTCATATTCTTCTTTAAGTATATTGATAAATGGTGAATCCTGTTAAATACTGCTTTAGTATGTCCCATAAACATCTATGCACGTATGAGTAATGTTGATAGTAGAGTAACTATTTCTGCGAGAAATGAGAATATTACAAGTGCATTGTAGGTTTATTCCCAGCAAAAACCTAATTACCCAGCATGACCTTTTCATTCGAAGACAAGTTGTTTTAAAACTGCTGTCATTGATAAATTGCATGTGTAATCCCACAATTTACTTTTGTCTATCATGTGTGTCATTACTTCAACGAACTTTGAATCATTGTGCTGGTATTCTCTTGCTTTAATAATACATATGTGGTTTCCAGTCATGCACAGTAATGCCTATTACCATTTGACCAGGCTGAACTTAAAGCCACTTCAATCTCACAAAGAGCCCACTTTACCCTCAAGAAACATGTACTGTTTATAGACTTTAATTAGACACTCCAAACTAGTGCATATCTCCTTATTTGGAGAAACTATTGAGAAGATGTTCAAGGTGCATTCCACAGCTGTCCTGGAGGAGACTTGCTTTTTGTGAATGGGTCTGATACCTGCTTCATGTGATATATGATTTTTCTTTGCTTAAAATGTGGTTTAAAATATGTACAGGCAAAAGTCTATAAATTAGAATATTGTTAAAGTCTATGTAATGAGTGGGTATCGTATCATTTTAAATGATCATTTAACCTGATTCCAGTCCATCATATTTTCGGCCTCTGGACTATTATGTTCAACTTTAAAAAATCTATACACCACTGGGACAGTTAAGGAATACACAATCAAGAAGAGGGCTTTAAAATCTGTTAAACTTTATACAAGTTTCTGCACTTTCTTTCCATATTTTTAGATTCCATCCATCTATAAATGCATGCAACGATAACACTGAAATGTCTCCACTGTGAGACGAATAAAGGTTTATCTTATCTTATCTTATCTTATCTTCTGTATTGCTAGTGGAGATTACACAGATAATCAATAACCAAAATAAATTGAATTGAAACTTTTTTGCAATGAACTGTAAACACATTGAAATAATACAAAACTTGGAGATTATATAACATTAGTGTTTTTTTATTATCATCCTTATTTGCATTTTTCTTTAAAAAAAATAAAAATAAAAACCTCACTACCACCTTCTAACCAAACATCTCATAGTACACATTTTTCTTCTTTCTTTTAAAATATTCCTCCAAGACAGTGACGTTGACCCCTAATCCGCAGTCAGCGCTGGAACCAACTAATAGCCCTTCTCTCCACAGAGTAATCCTTGTTTTTTTCTGGTGAGGAATTAGCCATATCTATTTCGCCGTATAATGTGGGTAACCTTAGCTGCCCGCACGTCAACAGCCTCATAATGGTTCCTGATGGGGCCTGACTATCTGAAGTTGACCTGTGACCGTCAAAGGAGAGGCAGGTATAAGGAAATATGGCGTTTGGGGCTGAAACATTGGGACGTTGAGTGAAAGGGCAGGGCTAATCGGGTAATTACATCAGATACAGAGGAAGAGGAGGAGATGAAGGCTGTCAGGGGCAGGTAATGGGCCAGGAGACCGGACAGTCGGGGTAAAGTATCATGTGGACGAAATATGGGGGAAGTACAGAGAGGGAATATTTGTGAAATGCTTTGTGTGAAAACAAAAAATTTCTTAGGCCAGAATGTGTGTCCATGTTCCTTAAAATCTGTGATTCAAATGATTTGGTTGTGCTTGTAGCTGAGCTTAGGTTGGATGCTGACCTAATTTGACCCTGTTGTAGACAATGAGCGATGGCAAGAATTGTAATACATTTTGTCCAATCAGAAAGCTGTGGGGGTGTGAATTGGGCAAATCTTGCCTTTAGTCATTTTAAAGTAACTGAAAATCACTTCAATAGATTACAAACTTGACTTAGGATTTTACCCACACAACGTTTTTGCTCAAAACCTTACAACTGTGGTCGTTTTACTATATTAACTTGTTGGGTGCGTTGTGTGGTTCAACTTATCTCACAACATGCAGACTCGTCTCAACACATACCTACAAATTTCAAGATCTAATATATTAATAGTACTCAACATGGCTTCTTTCATAAGTATTAGCTTCCTGTGTCATGCAACATCTTCACTATCACTATAGCAACAATCCTCTTTTATCATAACTGTGATAAAAGAGTTATCACAGTTACTGTAATATCACAGTAACCCATTATTGCCTGTGATTCAATGATATTTGCAAAATCTAGGTGTTGTCACTGACAGAGGTTAATATTCACATTGTGTTGCTATTTTTTGTATTTAATATTGTGTTCAATAGTCAAAAGTTAAAGGTTTTTAGAAGGATTTTACCAGAAGTTCCACATCTATTTCTATTTGGATCCTTTTGCCTTGTGTTATGCCTGCCCTCTACTCTCTTTCACATCTTCTGAGCGACTCACAAAGAAGTCTTTTGCATTTGCAGCTCTTCTGTTTCCACCAAAGTTGCTTCTAACCGGGTTCGGTGATCCAATGCGCATGTGCGGTCGGTCATGCCCGGCAAAAGGGGACGTATTGCCAGTGAAAAAAAAAAAAAGGTTAGGGTTGGAGATAAGGTAAGGGTTAGGATAAGGCTAGATTTCTGCACGACATAATACCAAGATTATAGAGAGTCCTGTGCTTCTATTGTAGTGCTCACAGTGCAAACAATACAGCAGGTCTACAAGTTTAAAACGAGCAGAGAAATAAGCATCTACACGTTGGGCGTCAGGTGTTGTTAAAGACAGGTTTTATGTGAGGGAGGCACATGGCTGGTCTTGCTGAACCAGTCAAGTTAGACAATAAATGTTCTGTCTAAATAGGTGTTCTATCTACAAATGGCTGTCTGCACTGGTGTTGACCTCACAATGCTGTTTAGCGGTGACTCTCATTCACAGTTCATGCTTGAATCAAATGTTTCAGTTAAAGTTGCACAGATCATGTAGGGGCTGCCTGTTTTCATTCCTGTTTTGCTTTCCCTGCAGTGTAATTCCAGCATATTGAGAAATGTTACAGAACAGCACCTTCGCCTCTGCTTACAGTAACAATTTGTGCGTAAATATATTTTTAGAAACCCTTGTATAAATAAATGTATGATAGAAGAGCTTAAGGGCACACCGTGGAATATTCCAGGAAAACCAAACCAAGGGGACAAACAGTTTTTTTGCAGATCCCCTTTAGAAAATGTACAACACACACTTTTTATTAATGATTTGTGTGAGGAAAAGGAAGAGAGAGCTGAGACTAAAGGCAAAGCACTCAATTGACCAGTCAATCTACGTTCCACCCTATGCTATGGGTATGAGTTTTGGGTAATGACCGAAAAGATGAGATTACAAAACTAAACATCAAAATTGAGGAGGAGCTCAAAGAAAAACCACTGCTTCTCCACTTTGTGGCTCAAGCATCTGTTATGAATGCCTCCCTGGGGTGACCCATGTCCCACCTGGGAGAGGCCCCAGAGAAGACATGTGACACACTGGAGGTGACTATGTCTCTCAGCTGGCCTGGGAACGCTTTGGGATTCCCCACAATGAGGAAGAAGGAAGTGTGCAGAGAGGGAAGTCTGTGCACCTTTGTTTAGACTGCTGCCCCCATGACCCGGCAATGGATATATAGAAAGAAAACTTATAGATGGCCAGTGTGATACTGAAAGGCTTTTCATATAACTTTTTTACCATATCTCCTGTGTGAGATCAATAAAGTCTATCTTATCTTGACTTAGCTTATTATAATTTGGACATTGATTCTAGTAGTTCTATATGATCAGATTTGTTAGCCCGTGCCATAGTTTTCACAAGATGAAGCCCTTGTCGCATGGAAGGAATGCCGTTGTTAATATTATTTTTATTATGTCATGATCCTATGAATAGCATTAATGTAGTGACCCCATTCAGTCCAAGAACCACATCTACACAAAAGCTCATAACCATATTGCACTCACCGGTGAAGTCCTCCTGACACTCGCAGCTGTAGCCCCCCTCTCTGCTCCGACAGCGCCCGTTGTTCCTGCAGGGTCCAGAGAAGCACAGGTCGATCTCCGTCTCGCAGTACTCCCCGGTGAAGCCAACGGGACAGCGGCAGCGCAGGCCGTTGATTGGGTGGATGGGTCTGAACAGGACGGTGTCAGAGGAGATGAACGGAGGAGAGCTGTCGAACTTCAGCACAGAGACGCACTTCATGTAGTTTTCACACGGCTCTCTCAGGCAGATGTTGTCGTCAAACGGTAACACCTGTGGAGGGGAGGATGTGTTCCGTTTTATTGTTTATTTGGCAAGTTGAATAAAGCACAAATTGTTTCCCCCAAGCAATGTGCAACTTTTCATCTTGTTGCCACAGGGATGACACAAAACCTACACACAGTTAGTGCCTTCAAAGATTATGAATGATCACGCAAACACTGGGAATGAGAGTGATTTTGGGAAGCTGTGTATTATAATATTTTTTCTATTTTCACATTATTATGACAGACTGGTCAATTGTCACTGATTTATAAGTCTACATCCCCCAGTTCTCAATAGACTGTATTGCCATTTTTTTTTTCCGGCAAGACTGATTTATGTATTGGTACTATCAGTAATCTGGATCATTGTCTTTGGTATTGGTAAGTATCCTGACGAGAAGGTGCAAATATTATCACATCACCCCTGTCCTCCCTCCACTGGCTCCCCATCTACTACAGAATCCAATACAAACTCGGCCTCCGCACACACCAGTGCACCCGCGGAACTGCCCCTGCCTACTTCACAGAGCTCCTCACCCCACACACCACCTCCGCTCAACCTACACCCGCTGTCTCCACCAGCCCAAGTCCAAGCTCTCAACCATGGGAGACCGGGCCTTCCAGGTCGCAGCTCCACGCCTCTAGAATGCCCTCCCAGAGACTCTGAGGGCACCACATAGTGTTAAGGCCTTCAAAAGAGGCCCAGATACCTTTATGTATAAGCAGGCCTATAAAGGATTGTTTTAGCTTTTAAGTTTTTCATGTCTTTTTTATTTTATTTTATGTACTTTGATTTTGTTTTTTGATGTTTTATTTTTTTGTGTGTGTTGGATTTTAATCGTCTGCATGTGGTTTTCTGGAGATGTAGGGTGCAATTAGCTTGACTCTCGCCAGACCCTTGTAGTTCCGCCATATTCCACCAGAGGTGTTTCGCGCCACACAAAGGTCTGGGATTGATTGCATTGAAAACTCCTTCAGGAGATCAAACAATAATGTTTTAAGAGCAAAATTTTCGTGTAAAGTTTGGTTTAAGTACTGTGCTCATCACAACACTACGCGGCAGGATTGCCAGGTTGGGTGTTTTCCCGCATACTTTTGTTCCAAGCGACTTGTAGGTATTAAATAGTCAGAAACAGAATCATGATAGCCCAAGTTGATTACATTACTTTTTAGCCAAAAAAATCATTCTGGGTGTTTTTTTGGGGGCATTCTCGCGAGGTTTGGGCTGGGAAATCTTGCCGGCATTTGGCAACCCTGCAACACAGTGTGATAAATTGTGTTTTGATGTGAGTGGTTGAAGGAACACATCATTCAATAACAGACAAGTGGTTTATCCAATCACATACAAGGATTTTTTTTGCCAGGCCCCACCTTTTGAAATTCATACACTATGAAGCAGACCCAGACCCTTGTGTGAAGCGCAGCAAACTACAAGGGTCTGGTGAGAGTCAGGCTAGGATGCAATATGAATAAAATGCATTATCATTATTATTATTTATTCTGTTACCTCCTGGGATGAGATTTGGCGTAGCAGGGTCCTGTTGAGGTAGATCTGCTCTTGAAGCTCCTCTGAGGGAAAGAACGCCCCTCTGGCCCCTCCGTTGTGAGACTGGCGAGCTGAGAAGGTCACGTTGAGTATGGAGCCCTGGACGTCTGTGTCATTCTGGATGTTGAAGACAAAAACAGCTTCCCGTTTGGTGGACAGGACTGCGGCCACACCCTCCATGAAGAGCCCCAGCAGAGGCGAGAGGAAGCGCTCCTGCGACATGTTCTCCAGACGCACCGTGATGCTGTTGGTCAACATGTCGTCTGTGATGACGGTGACCCGCAGAGTGCACAGGGCCTCGACTGTATGGAGTCCGTCTGCAAGAAAGGCAAAAACAAGTTCTTAAGGGGTTTGTTTGAGACATTATGTGTTGTGTGTGGGAGAAACTAAAACTGGAGTGATACATATATGAAAATAGATATTTCAGCAAGTGGTGCATGAAAGCAAATTATGAAGTTAAAAATACTAAAAATAGTGGCTGTTTGTAAAGCAGTAGTGTAGAATAAACTGTATTTACCCCTGCAAGAAATGTGTATTGGACTCACTACAGAAAATATTTAAATACAAATGTGAAATACAATAAGTTACAACAATTACAACAACCAATGCTTTAGAGTTGAATGGTTAATAAAGGTTGGTATACAAGACCATCAAAATGTACAAATAATTAGTTATGATTTAACCAAGAAATCCAATTGGTCATTCAAAAGATGATTTGTCATCTTTCAGACTCATTTTCCAGAACCAAACAGCCAACTTCTCAAGAAAAACAATGCTCGCTACCAATATTAGCAGCAAAGAATAGCTGGGGACACAAAGGGACAGTGTTGTTTCAATGTTGACAAACACATCCTTCAGCACTTCAAAACAGAGGGGTTTTATCATGTAATCTTCAGAAGATGATCGGGTGACCTAAGACAAACAATGTTCACTCCGAGTTGAGGTCAAGAGTTGAAGTCCTGTCAGCATGTCCTGTACACACCACTGTAGGTAATACATGTACTACAAAACTCTTTTATCTTTATGTAAAGCAGTTCACATGTCTCCCGCCCTCTCCTCACTATCGTCTTACAGATGTGTCGGACATATTGTCTTCCTGCTCCTCCCTCACCACTATCACTGTCACCTTGATATATTCCTTCACTGGCTCAAACTCAAGTTCAGCTATAACAAAGATTGAAGGTTGAATGAAACAAATACAGTACTTGCTGGACTACTGCGCGCACCTATATTTAAACCGAAATTTGAAGAGAAAGTAAATTTTTACGGCTGCGCTTGAATATAAACTGCAGGTTTTCATTTTTGCAATGTAAAACTGAACCACCACTGATAGAGCAAAACAAAGATGACAGACAACAACGACCCAAGGATTAACACGTTTTTCACCGCACTGTTGACTAGTGACAATGAAGCACTCTAGTAAATCCAAACTATTTCTACAGTAACCTTCCAACTAAAACATGATGAAAAAAAATAGTAATAAAGTCCAAAACATCAAAATAATAAGTCCATAAACTCTGATCTGGCAATAGCCCTAATCACATAAAAACAAGTGCCTACCCTTCCCCGTTTTAGATTTCTGCTGTTCACATAAACACGCAAGAATGTGGGCCACGTCATGAGCACTGCAGTCCGGCAAATACTGAACTAATAATAAGTAAGTAAGTAAATGGGTTCGTCCACTCACTTAATAAACCAAAGGCCATTAAGATATTATTTAAATCACTGCTGCATTTCCTGGGAAGGTGAATGGAGCCTCAGCATTTGTAACACAGTACATGATACGAGATTAGATTCCTATGTGAATACATGGGTGGGGACTTTAGGGAGCCTTGCAATGCCACAGCAAAATATATCCTTTATTCCTCTATTTTACATGATTGCTTTTTCATGTTTGTGCTTTATCCTCATCAGCTCGTAAGGGATGCCCTAAATATCACTTTTTGCATGTCTATTTTCTTGAGCCACTGACAACATTGAAGTAAATGAATACACAGTGTCTACCGACTTCAGAGTAAGGGCTGTTTCTCTCACGGCACATTCCTCCCTCTGCTCTGTTTTAACCTGATCCACTCTCCCATAACTGCAGCTCCATCTCTCTTTACAGCAGTTAAACATCTCCCCTGTTTTAGCGGGGAACACTTTTGCCGCTAGATTGAATTAAGTCGGGGCAGATTTGGTTTTATTCTTGTCCACAACAGGGGTAATTGGATCAGGGTTGGATTCCTGCCCCAAGGGAGGGCTAGTACTGCTGTGGCTGTAGCAGAGAGATTTGAACTATATGAATTGCATTAATGTAAGTAATTGAGGTAATTGTATCATAAAATACCATGGAAAGGGATGGTTTATAGCTATTGGAACGTCGTCATCCTCAGAGTTAAATATGTAACCCTATTAAACGAGAATTTGGGGTATTTCTGAATGAATAAGAACAAGCAATAAGATGTAGGTGTAGGGCTTAAAAACATAAATTGTAAAAACATTAGAATAAAATAGGGGCTGGTGCTCTGTGTACTGGGTGCAGCTCTGACTGCCACCCCCCGACCCAGAAATGGAGTAAGCAAAAGAAAATGGATGGATGGATGGATAAAATAAAATAAACATAAATTTTCTTCAATTTCTTTTGACTAACATGTTGCTATTTCTCGTCCAAGTTCATAATCAAATCAGCATATAAAACAACTTACTTAGAAGTTAAATAGAAAGCAATTTCAGTCTTCAAGAATTAAATGTGACTGTATGTAAAAATACTTTGAGGTAAATAGATCAAAAGGGAAAACTCATAGGTTTTTTTCTTCTAAAATGATTATTTACTAATAATCTTAACATCCCTATTTAGAAGTGTGGTGAGATCAATATCACTTTCAAACTTCATAAAATGGAACTATGTAAATAAAATCTAACTAGTTCCTTGCTTTCAAAACAGTTTGGTGTCACTTGTTTTCACATAGATGTCTTTAGATAGAATTTCTTTATGACAGAAGATTGATAAAGAGAAAACCACCCACACTCAGCCAATCAGCTCTCAGCGCAAAGCATCAAATACTGACTCCCAGGGGTCTTTCATACAAAACATTTTTTCAAATAAGATGAAGAAAGCATGTGGTGGTCTGAGATTATTACTGTTTGAAGACAAAAAACATTATTTATGATGAAAAAAGTTCTGGACCCCAGTTGTAAGACCCAAGACGCATAGAGGTGACGTTTTGAATGAATGTGAAGCATTTTACACTGAAGTGAGTTACAGTTTACAGCAGGTGGTGAGGCGAGATGAGTGCTGGGGTAATCTGGTTGAACTGGGGCAGGAGGGGTTGGGTTGCACATACAGAGGAGACACTGACGGCTGCATGTGTAGATTTAGGGGGTTGAGAAGTCACGCTGAGGTTTGGACACAGGTGCGAGACTCTGAGCTCCCATGGGGTGGACAGGGGGACAGTCAATCAGGGCCAGGGTGTGGACAGGACACATAACCAAACCAGACCAGAGCAAAGTGCTAATCGGACTGAGGTCAACATCATCAACAGCACTGAGAGGACCGGGGGGGGCAAGAGAAATGGGAGGAGCGTGACGGCTGATGTTCTACACAAGTAAATACCAGAAACATTTTAAGAGGATAAGATTGGTTGGTACTGGATATCAACCTATATTTTACTCTCAAATCAGTTTAAGCTGGGGTACCCAACTTTTAAGCCACAACAGTGGACACATGAGACGAGTTCCTAGCTCTAAAATTGTACACAACAGTATAGTTATCTCGGAGAACTTTCCAAAACCGTCAACTCGCCAACACAGATCAGAGAATCAACCTTTTCAAGGAAAGGAAATGCAATGGATAAAAAAACACAGAGCCATTGGTTCATAAGCGGCAGAAAACCACTGTCCATAAAGGTTGTTGAGTGTCCTGGATCATCACCAGAACACCTGACATTCAACAACAAAAACAGTTTGGTTATATCATGTTTTTGCCTACCTGTATTTTTTCTTTTTTTGGGGTGGGTTTTCAGTCACATCTTTAGATCAGTTTTACACAGAAAAGTTTAAAAGAGAGGACCACACTCACTTAACCAATCGGCTCAAAGTGTCAAATGGTAACTCCCATCGATCACACTATATGCAAAAGATGATTTCTAATACAGTAGGCTGTGGTCTGACTTGATCACAACATTGTACCTTTACAAGACTCTTTCTGTTGGACAAACTGTTCTTTATGAAACTAACAAAAAGTTTTGGAACACAAAAACTCAGAGGAACATCTGACCTCAGAGGACCAAAGCACGTGATAGACCATCCACTAGAAAAGTCACATCTTAGGCATGACTGGAGCCTAAGGATTTACGACAGAAGTGTTGTCAGAAGAGTAAAAGCAAAGCAATTATACGTAAGACAACAAAAGATAACGATCTTGACAGCATCTGTTAACACTATTGCTAAAACACAATACTCCAGCCATTACAACCTGCATGTATCAATGTGTAGTGTTCTCAAACATGGACAGACCAGGACCACGCAGGGGGTCCTGCAGGTCTCCCTCTGATCCAGAGCAATGGAGCATGACAAGGAGGATCATGGAAGTGCTGGCAGGAATGAGGCATTTTAGAAAGAAGCAGCATATTTTAGCTACTGCCAGGTGTATGGCAGTGTTTTCAATTATATTGATATTTTAGCAGAACTATACTGTACAATTGTGCTTGACATTTTCAGGCAAGAATGTAATTTCATCCTCACCTTTTGTATGAAAATAAATGGCTTTTTTTCATTCATAATCTCAGAAATATGACCATTGAAAATGGCTTTTGCTAGTGAATTGTTTTAAATAAGAAATTACTAATAACAAGTGGCTTGCTAAACTGCATTATGCAAGGTAAAATAGCATGTACAATGTTAGTGTTTCAGTTCTGTATGCATGAATTCTTAATCAGTTTGATCCAATGTAAACACACCCAAACCTTTTGTTAAGTATACCCACGTTTTAACACACATTTGACTTCACTGAAACATAATTTAGGACCACCCCATGTACTACTTCTTTGTCTCATGGGGTGTTCGCTCCATCATTCTATAGATAGAGCCCACAGCTGCTGGGTCACATACAGGCGACGATGAGCAGTGGAAAGGGTGTGGTGGGGTCGTAATGGAAACATGCTTCACTTTCACTGAATTGTCCAAACTATATAAACTATACAAGCTATACTTCAGAATGTGCACTAAATGTCACTTTATCTACTTATTATCCCGCCCTATATGTATATAACTTTACATTAAAGATATAGATAGATAGAAATATATCAATATATTGATATTGAAGAATATAACAAAT